CAGCCGTGCCTGCTGAGTGCGCAGTTTTAACGGGTGACCTCGGAGGTTGGTCGTGGTAGCAAATTCAAAAAAGTCCTCGAAGGCTAGACTGCAATGCAACCCTTTTATAATGCGGAAGGCTTGCAAGAGATCCCCGCGAAGTTGCCTGTAACTCAAAGGATAGAGGTTCAGATTTACTAGGTGGGTTGCATAAGGAAAGGAGCTTTGACCCCTAACCATCTTCGTGGCTCTCCTCTGGACTCTTTCGAGGCAGTTTTGATCCTAAACAGCCCACAGCCTCCAAGCTTGTATGCCGTACTCTAAATGCGGCCGGAAAAATGTTCCGAATGTCTTAGAGAAAGCTTCTTTGTCAAAGTCCATAAACGCACCCTTGGTGGCGTACAGTACGGACATTGCGCTTTTTGCCACCCTCGAACAGTGGGCGGATGGTTTTAGGGAACTCGTCGTCAGCACACCGAGGTCCTTTTGCTCTCCGACCTCTTGTAGGGCTGCACCGCCCAGAAAGTAGCCGCTTGTGCTGGCGGATCTGGCTGTGTTGCCTAGGCAAAGTATGCTACATTTGGCATCGTTGAACCGCAGGAGCCAACGGTTTGACCACTCCCCCCAATCGATTCAGGTTCATCTGAAGTCTGTCTTCGTCGGCAGGACCCCGAATTACACTCCATATCTTCATGTTATCCGCAGCCATTGCTATTTCACAGTCTAAAGCTCTTGCGGCATCGTCTACGTAGATAAGGAACAAAAAAGGGTCCCAGCACTGAACCCTGGGGGATAACACTATCGAGTTCAAAGGGGACTGACAGTGCCCAAGGGGCGCTACAATAAACCTATTCTATTCTATTCTATAGCCGGATCTGATTTTCTCCGACCGATTCACACAACCTGCTGTCGACCCACAAGGAAGATTTCGATCCATTCAAGGAAGTTGCCACCGATCCCTATTTTTTCAGCTTATGTAAGAGCCTTTGGTGTGGCGCAGTGTCGAACGCCTTCTGGAAGTCGATGAAGGCTATTTGGACCGCGTGCCTGTCGTCGAGAGCTCGGGTCCAGCTCTGGAGAGATTGCAGCAAGTTTGTCGTGCAGGATCTTCCTTGCCGGAAACCATGTTGGCATTTCGATAGCAGGCCGTGAACTTCCAGAACTTGCATCAGTTCACTCTTTTTGATCCTTTCCATAACTTTGCAGAGAATGCATGTCAAGCTTATGGGCCTGTAATTTGTCGTCGCTGCCCTGTTACCTCCTTTGTGTAGCGGAGTAATATGTGCCAGCTTCCAATCCATAGGAAGTGTTCCAGTATCAAATGACGTTTGAAAGAGCATCGACAAAGGCACAGAGAGCTCACTGGCAAGTTCCTTGAGAAGCTTGGATGGAATCTCGTCTGGTCCTGGCGACTTCGATTCATTCAATGCCTCTAATTCTCTTCGGAAAATGCCTTCTGAGAAGAGTATATCACCGACGCTTGAAGTCGGCAGTTCTTCTGTGGAGGGAGGAAGGAACCTTGCCTCGTTTGTGTAGACTGATTGGAAAAACCGTGAAAAACACGCAGCTTTACCCCTACTATCAGCGATCTCAACGCCATCAGTAGTCTTTATCAAGGGGATCTGATTCCTGTTTCTTGTACTTCTTCGGAGGTAGCTGTAGAGCAATTTTGGATTCTGCATTGCTTTTTGTAGCAAATTCTTCTCGAATTCCCGCCGCGTTTTCATTATCAGCTTCCTCAGTTTGTTCCTCTGTGTCTTGTAGGTGTTGAAGCTTTCAGTATTTTCTCCAAAATTTGTGCTTCCTGTTGATTTCTTTCTTAAGGTTGCTATTTAGCCACCCAGGGCGTTCGTTCAGTCTTACACTAGTCAGTGGGCAGTGCTTGTTGATGAGCTGCAGAAGGACCTTCTTGAAAAGCTCCCAGTCACCGTTTGCATTTCCCGTAAACAATGAGCCCCAGTCAAAATCGCATAAGTCTGCCCTCATCTGATTGAAGTCGTCCCGCCAAACATTACGTCTTTTGTGTTTTGGAGTATGTGAAATGGAGAACAACGAATAATCCCACATAAGCACTACGTGGTCACTTCGGCCAAGGGGCGGCATGGAGGTGATCTCGTCTATGCTGTCTGGTGTTTTCGTAAAGACCAGATCCAGGCAGTTTGTTCTTTATCCTTCACGCGTTCTCGTTGAGAACATTACATGTTATGTGAGGCACGCATTTAATGTTTTGCTCAACAGGCTGTAATCGAATGCCGAATTTGGACCTGACGCTTGGAGGGTATTCCAGTTTGTTCCAGGTGCGTTGAAGTCGCCCATGATCATGATGTTAGGTCGACTGGAAAATTTCTCCAACTGCTCCAATAGGTGAGTGTCGGCGATCTGGTCTGTCCTAGGTGGTCGGTAGACAGTGAGGACATCGAGACACGGGGAACCGGCAGCCTTGATGGTCAACCAGATAGCTTCCGTACTGCACGCAAACTTGGTGGTGTTATCCGACACTGCCAGACCTTCATTCACATACACAAGGATACCACCACCCTGACGATGTTCCCTGTCCCTCCGATAAATTTGGTATCCAGGCAAGGCTACTTCGTTATCGCTAATATTCCCGGGCAGCCAGGTCTCAGTTCCTGCTAAAACATCTGGAGACATCTCAGTAAGGCGAAGTTTTATTTCGTGTACAAGCACCTCAGTTTTGCAACAGCCGAATTTCCCGTTGCATTTGTTACTGCTGTGAGCATTACTCCGTTATCGCGGACGTCGTGTTCTCTAGGCTCTTCCGTTACCTGATTGGTTCCATTTACATGCCTTGTTTCAGTCAGATCACTGGCCGCTACGGGCTCGCTTGTGTTGGCGCCTTGATCAGGTGGTTCAACGAAGGTGTCTGTTTTAGCTGAGTAGCTGTCGTCGTTCGTAGTATTACAGGCTGGCTCCACTGAAACGGCATATATTTCCGAATTGCCTTCCCTTGAAGATAGCCAGATTGTGTTCGCCATCCTTCAGTCTTGATTTTAACTCCAAGACAAGTTCCCGGCGTTTCAACCGTTCCGCTGGTGAATAGTCCGGTTGAAAAAAAAAACCTGTTTGTGTGTGTATCTGAGATCGGTTTTTTTAGAGAGGATAAACTTGATTTGCTCTTTGTTTTCCAGCATAATTCTGAGAGGGCGAGGTGGTTGTGCTACTGTCCTGTCTTCACTCCTTTTTCCTATCCGGAATGCTTTCAGAACCTTTATTTCCGTGTCTGCCGGAAGTAACTGATTTAGCAGACCATGAAATAAGCAAGGTCCTCTGAGACAGGGTCTTCACGTCTGACTGAATTCGATTCTGACAAACCCTGAATAATCAGACACTGCTGGCAAGCATGGTCCTCCTCACTCAGCCTTTCCGGTGAATGCATTGCATGTGGGCGAGGAAGATTTGCGGAGTCATCGCTTGGACGCACACTTTTGCTGTCTACCGACTGTCCCGAGCAACCCATCAGGGCTGGCTGTGACTTCAGAATCCTGTCATGGCGTTTCCCTCTCCCCTCTACCCACGGGTTTATGTCTTCGCATTCAGATGCGTGCTCTGTAGTGTGCTCGGGGTGGTTGCCAGAACAAGAGGGCAACAGTAGACTGGATGACCCAGGTATATCGTCTCCAGGCAGAACAGAAATCCCATCACTTACAGCAAGAGGCTTAGGTGACATGGATTCCGCGATAGGTAATTTTTTTGCGACATCGCTTAAGACATCGTGCGTGGGAATCGAGTCTCCCTTTATCGACGGCTTCGTTTTCATTGTCCTGCTGTTACCGGCGTCTGCGGTTTTGTCTACTGAGTTGCAACTCGTGTTTGAAGATTCCCCCGAGGAGATATTTTTTCACGTTTTTTGCGTTTTACTCTTCGTCTTTGGGATTCTAACACTGGACACGTCCTGGTCGACTAGGGTCTGTTTCACGAGCGTCCTTAAATCCGCAAGCTCCTTTTCCAGTTGTTCTACTTTGATTTGAATATCTGCGCACCCACCACAAGGCTCGTCTTCGTACCTCACACTTTTTGCGGTATTTACGCTTTTTGCACGCTTTGCTGGTCGTTGGCTGGAGGCGAAGGTAGAGCGAGCACAGGTTCTGGATGCGAAGGACAACTCACCGGACTTATCTTCCAAAGAGGTGCCGTCACTGGCCGTACTACTACCGTTAGCTTGCTGAGAATCCATAAACTTCGACGTGATATAATAGGTATAATTTCGCTTTCGACGTCATAACAAATACGTCGGCTTATATATGATGAATAAAAGTGAGTATTCAGAAGTCAATAAGCGAAAAAAAATACTTAAAATCCGATAAACTTTGTTGAATTTAATCAGAAGCGACTTAGCCCTTTCCAGATCTCGTGGGACTTGAATAACTGCAGACCTTGAAGGATTTTGAGCGATTGGTTTTCTAGGCTGTATATCCGCGATTCGGTTGCGTAGCCAGTTGTAACGTTCCCGATGTGGTAACGATCCCGTCTAGTGAGAAGAGTGGTCAACGAGGCCCAACAGGATAAGTCAGACTAGTCACTGCTTTACTGAACGACCTATGTACAAAAAGAAACTAAGGGGAGAGTCCTAATTACAAAAATAAGCTAAATCTGGGAGGATTGTCCACAGGGCGGCTTGGAACTCTGGGATCCAGCGGAGAGAGCGGCAGGGGTTCCTCGTCCGGAGAGCGGCGACCGGCCACGGGAGTTGTTGGGGCCTAATCCTCGCCCGTATTTATAGCTTTTCCAGGGAGGGAGTCGCAAGGTTGGGGCCGCCATTGTTGATTGGTGGAGGGTAGGTCGAGGGTGGAAAGTTAAACAAACTTATGCCAGGGCTATCTTGCTTAATTTTAGCGTTATAATAATTTATTATATGCATACTTTTCGTGAGAAGCCGAATTGCGACTAAGTGCCTGGAGTATAAATATGGAAAAGTTCGGCGGGCGCGCCCCTTAAGGGGCGCGCTTTCTAGAACCTTCTCCAAGATGGCGGACGCACGTGGTCGTGCCTTCTAGAACTTCCTACATTGCTCCCTCTTGCGAAAAGGGTCTGCTGTCCTCAGCAGAATCATCTTGTTCGATGGCGGGTCCACCATCTGGGGGTACTTCGACAGTCTTCGCTATCGGGTGTCCATCTCTGAATACCTCAGCCGAAGCGTAACCGCCGTCTGGGGGGACTTCTAAATACTGTTCGACTAGTTGGTCGTTGTATTCGTGAGACGGGCTGGGTCCCGAGTCGGCAAGGTCTGTGTCCTCCTCTGTCGATGGGCCTGGCTTTAAGCGATTGAAGTGTACCGTAAACTCTTCAGAGTACGGTCTGTCCTGGCTGCGAACGACACAAGTCGTGTCGGAGAGGACCTTTCTAACTACATACGGGCCTATCCATGCTGGATTAAATTTTTGAGGTACACTTGGCGATGGGGCGAAATTCCGCATCCACACGATATCTCCCTCTTGATAGGGCGTCCCGTGTGCTAGACGATCATAGAATGCCTTCTGACGGCGCTGACCTTCCTGGAGGTGCAATCGCGCTTCCTCCGATGCTATGCGCAGAGTTTTCCGCATCCTCGAGGCGTACGTGTCGACGTTCTCAACCGGATGTGTAGGGAGTAGATGGAGATCTTCGGGGAGTTGCATCTCCCTCCCGCACGTTAGGAAGAACGGCGTTTGTTGCGTAGTGGCATTTACCGTGGATCGGTGAGCCAACATGCACGCCGGCAAGGCTTCGTCCCATGTGAGTGCTGAGTTCCGGTCGACAAATGCCCGCAGCAGATTGATCAGCGTCCGGTTCGTCCTTTCCACCTGGCCGTTGCCTTGTGGGTGGTACGCAGTAGTGCGTGTTTTCTTAATTTTCATAACCTTACACAACTCGTGTACGACGCTGCTCTCGAACGACGAGCCTCGGTCTGAGTGGAGTTGGTCCGGGGCTCCCCAGCGGCAGATCCACCCGTTGAAGATGGCTCGGGCTACTGTGGGGGCAGACGCATCTGTAGGGGTACTGCCTCAGCCATCTTGGTGAAACAGTCTACCATGACGAGAATAAACCTATTTCCCCTCGCGGATGGCGCGATCGGGCCAACTAAGTCTACCGCTACCCTCTCGTTGGGGTAGCCTGTCTGAATTGGCTGTAGCGGGGCTCTGTAGGAGTGCCCGGGGGACTTAAAGCCTAAACACCGCTCACAAGACCGGACAACGTTCTGTATGTCGGTCTTCTGATTCGGCCAGTAGTAACGTCGGCGGAGTGCCCACTCGGTCTTATGGATGCCGGAATGCCCTAGTTCCGCATGCATCCTTTTGACCACGTCCTCCACCATCGAAAGCGGTAGGACGACTCGCCTTGGGTATTGTTCGTTGTCGCGATAGAATAGAACACCATTTTCGATGAACAATTTGTCCCAAAGGCTATGTAAGCATCGCGTCTCATAACTACAACCCGCTAGCTCAGCTTTATTAAGGGGCCTACCGTTACTGACCTTCCTATCATAAATGGGACGGATATGAGGGTCATCCCTTTGGGCTGCGGCCCAGAGAAGGCATTGGTCGCTTTGCAAAGCGATAGCCGAGATAGTAATGTCCGTGCATGACGGGCACTCCCCGTGAGGGCGATGCGGTTTCCTCGAAAGAGCGTCCGCGTTGCCATGTTGGCGACCGGGTCGGAACACGCATTCGAAGTCGTATTCCGCTAACTTCTATTGCCAACGAGCTACCTGCCCTTCAGGATTTCTAAAATTTCGTAGCCAAGTCAAGGCACTGTGGTCAGTGCGTACGACGAACGGCCGGTACTGAAAGTATGGCCGGCATTCTTCCACAAAGTGCGTGAGGGCCAGCATCTCTTTTCGAGTCACGCAGTAGCGCCGTTCTGCCTTGGTCAACGATCTACTTAAATACTGGATGACACGCTCGGTGCCGTCTAGCTGTTGCTGAGAGAGAACCGCGCCGATTGCGGTGTCGCTGGCATCGGTATCCAGGATGAACTTTCCGGCATCATTACTAATATCAGGAAAGACTAGAATTGGGGTGGTACATAGCTTATCTTTTAGCGTCTGGAAGCTGTTGGTACAGTCAGCAGTCCACTTGAACTTTACGTTTTTCTGCGTAAGCTTGTGGAGCGGCCCGGCAATTTGGGCGTAATCCTTAATAAATCGCCTGTAATAGGAGGCGAGACCTAGGAAACTGCGGACCTCCGTCACATCGGAGGGAGTGGGCCACTCACGGATTTGTGAGACCTTGTCGTCGTCAGTCTCTATCCCCGCGGCTGAGACTACATGGCCTGAAAACTTCACGCGGGGCTTTATAAAAACACATTTGGAGGGCTTCAGGGTTAACCCTGCCTGTCGGAGACTGCTAAACACAGCCCTGATGTTACTAAGGTGGCTATCAAAGTCCTTTCCGAGGACGATTATATCATCCATGTATACTAAACACGAGGTTGGTATTAACTGTGCAAGCACCTGGTTCATCAACCTCTGAAAAGTGCTGGGGGCATTGGCTAGGCCGAAGGGCATCGTTTCGAACTCGTAAAGGCCAGAGGGGACCGCGAAGGCAGTCTTTTCCCTATCAGAGGGACGCACTTCAACTTGCCAATAGCCCGAAGCTAAATCAAGTGTCGAAAACATAACATTTCCAGCGAGAGCGTCTAACGTGGTATCTATTCGTGGGAGAGGAAAGGAGTCTTTCTTAGTCACTGCATTTAGCTTCCTATAGTCAATGCACAATCGCATTGACCCGTCCTTCTTCTTTACAAGTACAATGGGGGATGACCAGGGCGACTGAGAGGGCCTTATAATATTACGACTAAGCATATCATTGAAAAGAGCATCTAGTTCCTTCTGGTAAAAGATTGGAAGTCGCCTGGGAGGAACCCGGATTGGTCTCGCATCCCCCGTGTCGATGCAGTGCTCCGTCACACCTGTCCTCCCCGTGGACTTGCCATCCCAGTCAAAGATGTCCTTAAATTCGCTTATTAACTGGCTGAGCTTCCAGGCGCTACCTTCGTCGAGGTGTGCCGGGACTAGGTCCTTAACATCAACACTAACCGCGCAAGTGGATACCCTCCGCGGCTCAGGGAGACTGCGAAGAAAAGGCACACTGACAGTGGCGGCACGTAAAGAATGCCTACCGAAATCAAGGGAACATCTAAACTTGTTTAAAAAGTCAACACCTATTATACAGTCCCAGGTGATGTCCGGGGACACGACAAAATGGTGGGTAAAAATAAGACCTGAGAGGTCAAGAGAAAACTCCACAAGCCCAGTATGCCTAAGATGAGTGCCATTTGCAGTATGAAGTTTAAAATTAGGCCTATCACAATACCTAATCCTCGTTTGGAACTCTAAAAAGGACTGCTGACGTATCAAAGAACAACCAGCGCCTGAGTCTACTAGGCATGAAAGACTAGTGCTGCCTACAAATCCTTCAACTAAAGGGCAAATAGTAGGACCGAAGCATGAAACAGCTGAATCAGAAACAATGTAGTACTTACCGCTACTGTCCTGTGGGCCGACGTCGATTGACTGGACAGGCCGACGGTTCTGGGGACCATTGGGGCGACGGGGCGGTGGACGACGCCACTGGTTCTGTCGGGAGTAGAAGGAGCCGCAGGAGCAGGGTCGCCAGGACGTTTGAGTAGCAGAGTCACGAACCGTCTGCGGCCGGACAGCAGCGATGCCGAGGAGGGGTTGAGCAGGTCGATCGCAGACCGCCTGAAGCGCCTCCTCCTGACGTGCCAGGTCAAGGGCCTTGTCGAGAGTAGCCGGTTGCCCCCGCATCAAGGCCTTCCGGACTTCAGGATCCCTGACACCAGCGACGAACTGCTCCAACACCCGCTGAGTGAGGGCTGCAGCATCCATGGTGGGAAAAGCCTTCCGTCCCAGGAGACGAAGGGCCTGCTGGTAGTCGAGAACTCCTTCGCCCGGCTGTTGGAAACGGCTCCGGAATTCTGATTGCAGAATCCACGGGTGCACAGACGCCCCGAGAATTGCACGAAGGCGATCCAGGATTTCTGACGCCGGCAGGGAGGTGGATATGCCTGAGGACTGTGCGAGGTCGTACTCTTCATCGTCCAGCAGGCCCAAGATGGTTCCGCTTTGCGACGAAGCATCCACCCCGCGCAGGTAATCCTTCATCCGTGCCTCCCATCGACTGAAGTCGGCAACTCGCGTCAGCTTCTCTGGCAAGGGCGCAGACGGCTGCTG